GCATTGCACCAGCAATCAGTAGATCACTGATGCCATGCAGGTCTCCTGCAGACCTGTCAGAATATCTGCTTGCCGTACAGGATGTACGAGCATGTATATATTCTGACAGGAAGCTTCAGTGAACTATCGTGGTGCATGAAAAACTGAGAGGTGGACCTGACCGGACCCTTGGGGCCTAAGACTTTCTTTTGGTGATATTGTCCTGCAAAAATGTTTTATTTTTTAAGCAAAACAAAAAAAATGTAAGAAAAAAAACTTTTATACTTTGATCGGTGTTAGTTAAAAAAAAAGTATTGTTATGGTAGATAACAAATTTAATCATTTGTCCTATACAAATTACACTAAGATTATGACTCTGGTGCAAAGCATTGCAAAGTTATTGTAAAAAAAAATATAAATAAAGTTTCTTTCAGTTTTGCACTTTTTAATGCAACACTGAAGCAATCATTGAACAAGACAAACATACAAAAAGATTAAATATTAATGGTTGTAAAAAAAAAAGTAACGAAAATAATAAGCAAGAAATTAATAGTAATGTAGAGGAAGAGAAGAAAGAGTTGCTTAGGGTTCATTGGTGTAAACTAATGGTTAAATAGGAATACATTTTAATAAAAAAAAAATGTTTTATTTATCTTGTCAGGTTGTTTTAACTGACATACCGTATATACTTGAGTATAAGCCGAGTTTTTTTCAGCACATTTTTTGTGCTGAAAAACGCCCCCCTCGGCTTATACTCGAGTCACCAAGTACAGGGGTTGGCAGAGGGCTGCAGTCTCTTACCTGGCTCCCACGACGATCCATCCAGGAAGCGCTGCTCCTTCAGTCACTCCGGCCACTCCCCCTCACTCCTGCCGCTCGGCTCCGCCTTCTCACCGGTGATTGGCCGCCAGAACTGTAGCTCAGGAAAGGCACACAGGCGGCCAATCACGGGCGAGGGGGCGGAGCCGAGCGGACCCGCGAAAATCGAGTGAGGGTAAGTGTGCAGTGCAGAGGTGCTGCTGCAACCACATATGCTGGCTGCAGCAGTACCATACTAGAACAGGAGTGAGCAAGTGTCATTGGTGTCAGTGGGAGGAATAGTGCCTCATCATTGGTGTCACTGATACTAATGATGGGGCATTATTCCTCCCACTGACACCAATGATGGGGCACTATTCCTCCCACTGACACCAACGATGGGGCACTATTCCTCCCCCCCCACTGACACCAACGATGGGGCACTATTCCTCTCCCCACTGACGGAGTACTATTCCTCCCACTGACACCAATGTTGGGACACTATTCCTCCCACTGACACCAATGATGGGGCACTATTCCTCCCACTGACACCAACGATGGGGCACTCTTCCTCTCCCCACTGACGGAGTACTATTCCTCCCACTGACACCAATGTTGGGGCGCTATTCCTCCCACCGACACCAATGATGGGGCGCTATTCCTCCCACTGACACCAATGATGGGGCGCTATTCCTTCCACTGACACCAATGATGGGGCGCTATTCCTCCCACTGACACCAATGATGGGGCGCTATTCTTCCCACTGATACCAATGATGGGGTGCTATTCCTCCCACTGACACCAATGATGGGGCACGATTCGTTGCTCTGACACCAATGATGGGGCACGATTCCTCCCACTGACACCAATGATGGGGCGCTATTCCTCCCATGGACACCAATGATGGGGTGCTATTCCTGCCACTGACACCAATGATGGGGCACGATTCGTTGCTCTGACACCAATGATGGGGCACTATTCCTCCCACGGACACCAATGATGGGGCACTATTCTCTATCTTTATTTTTTACATTGACTAGTAGGTGCCTCATTTCCCACCCTCGGCTTATACTCGAGTCAATAGTTTTTCCCAGTTTTTTGTGATAAAATTAGGTACCTCAGCTTATATTCGGGTCAGCTTATACTCTAGTATATACGGTAATTATGCAGATCAAGCTCATTCCTTTGATCTGCAGAAGAATGGAACAGAATACATACAGAGTACATACAGAGTAACACTATTACCTTCTATTTCACATCTGATCAGTGGTTTTAAACACTGTATCGGGCAATCTGTTTTCTGAGATAGCAGCTGTTACAGCTGCTGTATTTTTTGAGAAACTTCCGATTGCCACTTGCAAGTGCAAGGGGGAAGGGGGTGGCCCCATGTACTTTGATGATGTTTTTTTGAACACATGTAGCACCCCCAGTGTCCACAGCTGAATAATTATGTTGTTAGTGTTAAAAAGGATGAACAAAAGAAACATGTAGACATCCTGCATACACGTTTTCACCAATTACATAATTTTTGTCACTGACAAACATATTCTGGCAAGTAAATAAATAAATCACCCTGCTATTAAAGCCATTCTTCCAGGTGCTCACCAAAAACGTATGTTCTATTGCTGCCACCATAAATCATAAAACCATAAATGGAGTAAGACCCCCAAACAGGTAGCATAATTATTAATAATAACTTAAAATATCACACTTAGTAGTATAAATGTGAAAGTAAAGTTTTCTCCAGTGTATTATTCATATACTGTAAGCAATATTGCATATTGTAAAGTATACAATTATCTTAACAAAATAGTGCAAACAGCACTAAAATCTATCACCTTCCACAACACCGTGTAGTAAAGATGATTTCCTCTCCCCAAAGGTCACCAAACTCACCAAATTAATTTGCCTCTCATTTTAAATGATTAGCAAATAACGCTTTCCTTTGGATGCTCTATATTGGCTCCTGAGATTGGCACCTCTTTTAATCACTCTCATCCTTCATATCTCCACTGGGACTTTAAAGAAAAAAATTAGAAAGCACGATAGCATAACTAGTTTTCAATAAAATATGACTTCAGTTAAAATAAAACTCACAAGCACATTAAAAATCAGGCCCATCAATACTCAGAACTGCCAGAGGCAGTAGAACTGGTGGATGTGGTGTATCACCCAGTCTCCAGATTGGTTCACTTCCAATTGTCGTGTACCACACCCTTTTTCCTTGTTTGGTTTGACTTAGCATTTTTTTTTTCAGTTGTGGAGAAGTAAAAAAAGAAAGCTTTTCAGCAAGCTTATTTTTACAGTAACAACCCCAATAAGGTTCATTTTAGTGATAATTCACTGGTCATACTCATATATGACATTTATAATCATGCCAAGATGCTTGTACAGGGCAACAGCGAAAGAGCAATTGCAGGCAAATGTATTGACCACAGTACTCAGAGCTTTCTTATTAGGACAAGTGTCTTTCGGAATTAGTCCAAGCTAAGTGGAATTATTGGGTTTATATAGAATCTTAAATAAATATAAGTAGGGTTACTATACAAAATGGTGACCGATTTTTATAGTACAAGACATGGTGCACTTAATAACCATGATTAAAAAGGAAAGAAACTGTTTCAGTGCATGTCCTTTCAAATCAGCAAATCAACCTCTCCTGACGGTTTATGCCATTACATCACTTCATCAGAGAGAACAAGAGTTTGCACTTACATTGTTAAGTACTTTTGGATGTCATGTGGTGTTAAATTAGACTGGACTATTTGACATAGCATATAAAGTAAAAAGAGAGCCTGCAGCTTTTCTGAGGTAAATGTTTATATTTTAATACACTTTCAAGTATATCTGCTCTCCACAGTTATGGTTTATATTTCTGGAATCTGCATGCCCCTCTTCCATAAAAAAAAGCAAAGACAAAATTTCTGGAATCTGCATGCCCTCTTCATAAAAAAAGCAAAGACAAAAAAATTATATATATATATATATATATATATATACACACTATATTGCCAAAACTATTGAGATGCCTGCCTTTACACGCACATAACCTTTAATGGCATTGCAGTCTTGGTCTGTAGGGGTCAACATTGAGTTGGCCCACCCTTCGCAGCTATAACAGCTTCAACTCTTCTGGGAAGGCTGTCCACAAGCTTTAGGAGTGTGCCTATGGGAATGCTTGACCATTCTTCCAGAAGCGCATTTGTGAGGTCAGGCACTGATATTAAACGAGAAGTTCTGGCTTGCAGTCTCTGCTCTAATTTATCCCAAAGGTGTTCTACTTGGTTGAGTGCAGGCAATTCAAGTTCATCCACTCCAAACTCACTCATCCATGTCCTTATGGACCTTGCTTTGTGCTCTGGTGTGCAGTCATGTTGGAACAGGACGGGGCCATTCCCAAACTTTTTTCCCACAAAGTTGGGAGCATGAAATTGTCCAAAATGTCTTGCTATACTGATGCCTTAAACATTCTCTTCACTGTAACTAAGGGGCCAAGCCCAACCCCTGAAAAACAACCCCAAAACATAATTCCCCCTCCACCAAACTTTACACTTGACACGATGCAGTCAGTCAAGTACCGTTCTCCTGGCAACCACCAAATCCAGACAAGTCCATCGGATTGCCAGACAGAGAAGCGTGATTAGTCACTCCAGAGAACATGTCTCCACTGCTCTAGAGTCCAGTGGCGGTGTGCTTTACACCACTGCATCCTATGCTTTGCATTGCACTTGGTGATGTAAGGCTTGGTTGCAGCTGCTCAGCCATGGAAACCCATTCCATGAAGCTCTCTATGCACAGTTGTTATGCTAATCTGAAGGCCACATGAAGTTTGGATGTCTTTAGCTATTTACCCTGCAGACAGTTGGTGACTTCTGTGCACTGTGTGCTTCAGCATGCGCTGACTCCGCTGTGTCATTTTACATGGCCTATCACTTCATGGCTGAGTTGCTGTTGTTCCCAGTTGCTTCCACTTTGATACAATACCATTAACAGTTGAGCATGGAATATTTAGTAGCAAGGAAATTTCATTTATGGACTTATTGCACAGGTGGCAACCTATCACGCTACCACGCTTGAATTCACTGAACTCCTGAGAGTGACCCATTCTTTCACAAATGTTTGCAGAAGCAGTCTGTATACCTATGGCCATGGAGGCGACTGGAACACCTGAATCCAATGATTTGGAGGGGTGTCCCAATACTTTTAGCAATATAGTATAAAAATATATATATATATACAGGGCGTGAAAAAGCCACAAGCCAAATGCGAGAAGAAATTCCTGTGCGGTGAGCGGCAAGCACAGATGATGGATGGAGCGGCTGCACCTGCGCTCCAAGCCTCATTGTGAAGCCGAGTTCCGGTTTCCAACTTCCGGTCTCTGGCTTCTTCGGCACCGCCATTACACTGGCAGCACCGCTGAGGGGACAGGTGCAGGAGAGGTCCGCTCTCCTCCGCTAAGAGGAGACACCCTCTCCACACCGTGGGGGACTCGAGGAGAGGTCCACTTTCCACCGTCCTGGGGGACCTTGAAGTATTTTTGGGTATGGTCTGTATAAATTTTGTTCAGTTTATGTATGGTTATTTGTACATTCTTTGTGTACGGTTAGAGGTCCATCCTCTACTCCTACAGTTTTTATAAAGTTTAATCTTTTATTAAACACCCTATTGTACATGTTGTATAGTAGTACCTGAAAACTTGCATAGTGCTTTCTCTTGGTGTCTGTACTCAATACGGTAATAATAATATGCCACGTTAGCCATAGATAGTAGAAAGTATGTGAAAATGTAAGCAACACCTTTTTGCTAGCTAACCTAATATACTTTAGTGCAAACTTTTTAGAATACCAAGTTGTCTTCACTAGACATGGTGTCATACCTTTACACATCAGTGACATGACACATACACATAGCATATGCAACAAATGGTCACCAGGGGATGCCTCTGGCAGTCTGCCAGGATTCGGTGATAATTGTCCTATGTCTGTAGATAGACCTTACATGCAGTTATTAACACATTGTGTCCTTTTTTAATACTTTAATGGCAGAAAATGTGTTATGTGACTTTCTAATATAACACCAGAGATGCTGTGAATACACATTACACGTTTACATAGGTTTCATAAATTAGGTTCTAGGCTCAGTCTGGCCTCTTATCCACTATGAGACTTAATTATGTAAACCAGCTTTCTATTACTCTATTCTAAAGAAAAATGTAATTTCATAAGCTTTAAGGGGGCATGGTTGGGGGTTGGGTTGGGGCGGGCCAGGGGTGGGGCTGGAGGCGGACCTGGGCAAGGTTGGGTGGGGCAACTGGTGGAGAGTAAGGTTTGTGCCTGGCTAGTAGTAGATATATATATATATAATCCTGAGGACACAGTGAGGCATATTTAGAAATCAGTGAATGTGACAGTTGACAAACATCTACTACAGGTCTTTCTGCTTTCTGGTGCAAGCATTTTAATGGCAGTGATTGATTCCCCACCAGTGGATTTTTGGTGGAAGTACTCAGGATGCCAGTCTTAATTCACTCCCTTGTTGCAAAAGAAGCATCAACGAGAACAACTGTTCATCAGTAAAGTTATTCCTACCTATATAACCTATTGCATTTTCCTCCAGCAAAGAAACAATTAAGTACTGTCCATGATACCTTATTTATTTGCACTAACATACAAATTTTAAGACAAGCTTTTGGGGTATGTCCCCTTCAAGGTCCAAACTGTGATCTACCTCCTCAAGCAAAGAATTCTGAATGAACTATTAAGTTATAAAATTAGAACTCAACCCACTCATTTGTTTCCCAAAATAAATGAGAGATGTTTAATAAATGTTATTAAATCCTTAATCAAACATACCAATTTTCTTTGCTGAAAATTTTTTATTTCCAATCTGCCTAATAGCATATACACAGTGTATGCTACAAGGCATGCTTCTAGTAATAACTGTCACAGTTGCTAGTGTGCTTATGTTGGCTCTCAAGCATTTTTTTATAAAGTGTTTTTTTACCTTCATGCATTCTTCTGTGTGCATCAGTGTCCTCAGCCCCCTCAATACTTACCTGAGCCCCATCGCAATCTGTGCACAACAGCCTCAGGTGTCCCAGGTCTCTGCCTCCTCATTGGCTGAGACAGAAAGCGGGAGTCATTGACTCCTGCTCCTGTCAATCACAGCCAGTCAGCCAATGAGGAGAGAGGGGGTGGGGCTAAACTGTGACTCCCTGTGTGAATGGACACACGGAGCAGCGGCTTGGAAACAGCCTGCTCGGGTGCCCCCATAGCAAGCTGCTTGCTATGAGGGCACCCAACAGAAAGGAGGAGCCAGGAGCGCCGACAGGGGACCAAGAAGAGGAGGATTTATGCTGCTCTGTGCAAACCCACTGTACACAGCAGGTAAGTATAACATGTTTGCTATTTAAAAAAAAATGAACCTTTAGAATGGCTTTTACTCTCAAAATTCTGGTGTCATAGCTGATCACATGTGCAACACCATCGATATATCAGATCTAAATAGATGCTAAAATGGCACCATCTATGGCTTTAAAAGGATAGGAAGGTTCCTATTAAAGTTAAACAGGATAAGTGCTGATTACAGACACTGCTTTAATAATTGTGATTTTATGCTGAATATTTTAGGCTCAGTTCACAAAGCTTTAGCACAAGGATAAATATGTTATAATAAATTCCATATCTCATTGGGTTCATCTGAAAAAAAAAACTTTCATTTTTTCAAATGTAAGTATCCTTTTCCTAGTGTATGAATTAAGCTGCTGTGTCTAATAAAAAATTGTACTATATTTTTTGAGTTCATGATTAACTGAACCTCCCATTCCCACCTTCACATTTAGAAAATTTTCTGAAGTGATTGGACATATTGGAGTTGATACATAGCTCAGCTATATGTGTGATTTTTTTTGTGACACATCCTATGAGTTGAAGGACAAAGCAAAACAGTAATTATCACAACTGCGACAATTAATCATGTTTTTGTGTTACTCAGTACAACATAGGCCTCCATTGTTTATCTAGTATGACTTTTTTTGCAGTTATTGTACACTTAAAACACAGTAACCTGGGAACTCTTTGTGTAGGCAAATGTAAAGGTAAGAATTAGGGAAACAGTCACTGATTTGCCAGACCACCTAAGCTTGTGCTTCAAATACACAATTATGTTAATCATTTACACTGATTTTTATAAATATGCATATCATTGTAAGCAGAGTAATGTACAAAACTCTAACATGAAATAATTTTTTAAACTTGCATCTTTTTATATTCATTAATTGTAATTACATGCTGTATGTACCAATAAACACCTAGATTTTCCTAATATATACACGGGCTGTGTTTTACTATTCATCTTTTTTAGGAGCTTGTTCAAACCATGGTCTGTGTCATGCGTATTCCCATTTACTGTATATAGCATTCTCCAGTAAATTATTGTAAAAATTCTTACCCTAGTACTCACAGTTTACAGCTTTTAATGCTGCTGGATCTTGCTGTCTCAGTGCTGCTTCCCCGAACTTCAGTTTTCACAGGAAAGGATTAACCATGGACAGAGCAGTTTGTAGCCTGTTAGCTTGGATAAAAGAGGGGGGAGTAATAGGGAGGAGCAAAGCAGCGTGTTGCCATCATAGGCTATGAAGCTGCACTTCTGAAACATCCAATCTTTATTGTAATAGTAAAACATTCCAGTACAGCACTGTAATACCGTGGGGACACAGGACAATCAACATGTTTCATGCTATCTCAGCACGTATTCATGACTACACTGATAAGCACTGACATAAAGTGAAATGCGTTGACTGCCATGTGCCCCAATAGTGTCTCAGTGCTGCACTAGAATGTTTTTACTATTACAATAAAGATTGCATGTTTCTTCAGAAGTGCAGCCATCTAGAATTTTGGATTGTATGTAGTCTAACAAACTAGGCCTCTGACGTTTCGAGAGGTGTGGAGGATAGAGATAGCAGGTCCACCATTTGGAGCAGCAGTCTGTCTAAATATAGGCTATGGGACTGTCTGTTAATATTGATGCACACAGTGTAAAAAGACACCGTTCTACTGCATGCAAGGGTGACTCCATAGGATGCTGCAGGAGAAAGGAGTCACCATGAAACAGGTAACATGGGGCTATGGTCAAGACACCAGCTTAACCGCATGCCACCCAGCCACTGTACATATACGGCGGCAGGGCGGCACTCACAGGCAAAACCACGTTTTAAGACGTGTGTTTTGTGAACAAATAGGGGGCGAGCGCGAGGCGCACCGCCGCCCTATTTGTCCCGCGGTTCTCTGCCGCAGATGTGAGTCGCCGGGTCACAGCCGCTCGTTAGCGGCTATGTCCCGGCGATCGGCGGCAAACAGTGACAGAGAGCACAGCTGCAGTAGCTGTGCTGTCTGTCACTTCCCTGACAGCTCGAGGATGAGCTGATCGAGAAAGAAGAGTTTTTCTTTCTCGATCAGCCTTGTCCCACCCAGCACACACCCCCGCCCCATAGTAAAAACACTCCCCTCACTCCTATAATCCTTCCCTGCTAAATAAAGTTAACCCCTTCCTCCCCATTGCCATTAGTACAGTGTCAGTTTTTTTTTTTTGCACTGATCACTGTATTAGTGTTTTTGGGGATGTCAGTGACCCCAAGTCAGTACCCCCCAATGTTAAAATGTCTGCCGCAGTCCCGCAGTCCCGCCATAAGTCGCTGGTCGCTGCCATAAGTCCCTGATCACCGCCATAATTCGCTGATCGCCGCCATTATCAGTATAAAAAAACCCCTAAAAATCCCAGTATCTTTCCCGCCATTTGTAAACGCTATAACTTTCACGTAAACCAATTAATTTACACGTATTGGGGTTTTTTTTTAGCAAAGACATGTCACAGAATGCATTTTGGCAGAAATTTATGACTAAATTTGATTTTTGCATTTTTTTTTTACTGGACATGTTTTATAGCAAAAAGTCCAAAATATTGTTTTTTTTTTCCTCAAAATTGTCAGCCTTTTTTTTTTATAGCGCAAAAAATAAAAACCGCACAGGTGATCAAATACCACCGAAAGAAAGCTCAATTTGTGGGGAAAAAAAGATGTAAATTTCATTTATGTACCGTATTGCATGACCGCGCAATTGTCCGTTAAACTAGCGCAGCGCTGTATAGCAGAAAAATGGCGTAAATTGCAGTATCTGTACCATAGTTTGTAGATGCTATAACTTTCACACAAAGCAATCAATATACACTTATTGGGATTTTTTTTAACAAAAACATGTAGCAGAATACATTTTGGCCTAAATTTATAACCAACTTTGAGTTTACTATATATTTTTTATAGCTGAAAATAAAAAATATTGTTTTTCTTCAAAATTTTTGGCCTTTTTTTTGTTTATAGCGTGAAAAATAAAAAGCACACAGATGATCAAATACCACTGAAAGAAAGCTCTATTTGTGTGAAAAAAAGGACATAAATTTCGTTTGGGTGCAGCATTGCATGACCGCGCAATTATCAGTTGA